TCAGTTTTCTTGGGTCGCTGTGTGCTGTTTACCTTGTTATTAAACTTTCATTTGTTTTTCTCCTGTTGATCTATTTCATGTCAGTTTAATTCTTAGACTAGCCAGAAGAACTTTAGATGGAAAGGTTAATTTCTTCATCACTGACAGGGGAGAGGAAAATGAGCATGTAACCAGTATCAAAGTTGAGGGGGAATATCTTGGCAGTTATCAATTACTGAACATTTAAGGTACAACAGTTGCTCTGTAAATTGTAGGACACGGTGTATGCAAATGCAAACAAAGAAAATGTGGCTTTTCAGAGGGCCTGCAGATAGGTGGGAAAACAAAAATTCTTCAGACTGGTATTTTAAGTGCTGAAAACCAAAGTATAATTTTATGAATTAAATAGGACTCCAGAGAATAGAGAACAATATTGGAAGAAAGTGGAATTAAGGCTAATGTTGGATACATGAAGAAAGGAAGGCATTTAAGGTAGTGATATGACTACAGGAACAAAATAAAATGAGAAAGAAATTAAGGGTTTGAAATCAGATACTGGAGTAGAAAGAAATTAGGAAGGCTGTTTTTTAATTTTCCACAAATTTCTTTAATTCCTGGATTATTAGAAAAGAACTGAATTCTCATGTCTGCTTCTGCATTTAGTCTTTTGAGATGTTATTTCAGTTGAAGTATATGAAGTTTTTAGTGATACGTAGTTGGAAGCAGAGTATTTTTTGGATAATTGTGGTTCTATAATACTACATCAAAAGTCAGTAACCAACTTAGTTGGAATATGGAATCTGAAACCCTATCAATGAATTTTTTGTTCTGTTTCATTAAAATCCCTTAGTCTGTGTTGCACTTTGAATGATTGGTTCCCCAGGCATGGTTTTATACCATGGTGCATTTGGTCATTTAGAAAATCCAGCTTCACTGAGTTAAGCAGATCTGCCAAAGATTGATACATTCTATTGCATAATATCAAAATAACACATTCATCAATATCACCATCTGATCTTATCAGAAGAAATGTCCCAGAAACAAGTACTAAGCAATTGTCAAGCTCACTGTCCTGGACACAAGTTTTCTAAAATTCCGATTTTCCTTTGAAAGCTTGAATTATTATCATTGGCAGCAAATGCTGTCAGTTGTTTTTCTTGAAGTGACAGAGTCCCTTTGTTCCTTCAGCCAAAAACCTGCCGACGTCCAAGTCTGAATAACCAGAGTCGGTCTCTTGTGCTTTCAGGTAAAAATGATGCTTCTCAAAGAGTGCCTGGTTTGGCTCTCAAATCTTAAGGGTGGAGGTGTTTTTCCTGGAGACAGCTGTCACATCATGCTCTGTAGCTGGGGCACTGGCTCCTTCATATCTTCCCTCGTGGGGTATTAGAAAACTCGAAGATTGAAGGTTAATGCAGTTAACTTTTACTACTTCATCAGGTACAGTCTTTAGTTAAATAGTCCCCCCCCCGCCCCAACAATGAGTGTGTGATGGTGAAGAATAAAATGACTCAATCCTGGCAGAGTTTCGTGCCCTTGTCTTGATTCCTGCTTAATTCTCCAGCAGTTTTACCCAGCTTGGCTTTTGCACCATGAGTGCAAATACCAACGTAGTGGAAAAGGCAAATGACATCTTAGTACTATTATGAGAATAGTTTTCAATTTGCAAATCCCCAGAAAGGGTGGGGGAGACTGCCAGGGATCTGGGGACTTAAGACTTTGAGAACCACTGCCAATCCCCTGCTAAAGAATCAGAACACTAAGACTGGTGACTTCTGTAATCTTGGGCCAACAGAATGGACTTCGGTTTCTTCTGCCCCGTGAGGACTGGTTAGATTTGGTTCCTCCAGGCCTGTAATCTAACTGTGTTTACTCTGTCAAATCTGACCCTCAGTAATTTGGCTAACACCATCTTTCACATTGCATTTCTCATCACGGTACAAGATTGAGTCTCCATGTCTATAAAGCAGGTTTACTCTTGTTACTCAGAGTGAGGGGGAAATCTGGGGACTTGTTAGTAGTGCAAAATCTAAGACCCCAGCCCTACTGAACCAGAATCTGCAGTTTAGCAAGATCCCAGGCGCTATGTGTGCCCGGTCATTTAGCAAACATTCATCTATTCTCACTCCGACCTCTGCCCCAGTGGTTCTCCGCCTTGACTGCTCATTAAAGCCACCTCGGGAGAATTAAAAACCCCAGTGCCCAGACCAGCTGAATCAGAATCTCTTGGGAGGAGTTGCCGACTGCTCTAAACCTTTTCCTTAACAAAATCACATACTAGTTTCTTTTATGAAATCCTCTAAGATGTTACTTCATTTGGCACTTAATAATAATTGCTGCTACTTAAGCAATTCCTATGGGCAGGCACCATGCTAAGCTCTTTCGTGCCATTTAATTCTTACAGCCTGCTATGAAAGAAGTGTTCTTATTCTTTTTTTTTATAGGTGGGGACATTTGATTTATTTTATAATATAGTGACTACTGATGGATTTAACTCACAGAAACAAAAAGCTCTTTGGGGCTCTGTTTTAAAACTGTAAGGGGATCCTGAGACTAGAAAGTTTGACCACCTCTGACTTAGTTATTTTGCCTGGAGTGCCCTTTCCCTGCTTCTCTGCCTGTTACTGGCACCCTCCTTTCTCTGGAATACCCATCACTTTGTAAAAGTGCAGATTGTCTTGAAGTCCAACAAAAAATTTATTGAACACTTTGCTTTAGGTAGATAGAAAGAAAAGGCTCATCTTCCAATGACCTCAAAGTAATTTGAGGAATGTTTTAAATATTTGTGAATTCATTTAAAATCAAACTCATTAAGTATACTGTAAATAACATTTTATGAAAAATAATTTTCCAAAAGAAAAAAGAAATTTGTAAGTAGATAAGCCCACATTTGAACCTAGGTCGATCTGTCCATCCTTCCTTCCTGCCTCCCTGCCTGCCTGCCTGCCTGCCTGCCTACCTCTCTCCCTCCCTCCCTCCCTTCCTTCCTTCCTTTTCTTTCTTGCTTCCTTCCCTTCCCTTCTTTCTTTTTTCTTTCCTTTCTCCTTTTCTTCTCTGTTCTCTTCTCTTATTTTCTTTCTATCTTTTCCTCCAGCATCCAGGTTCCAAAATGCACGTTCCTTTTTCACATTACTTTTTCCTGCTGTTCTGACACCAACTGAAGGAGTGACGTGCAACCACTTGGGTGGCTTTCAGGTGCATTATGCTAAGTGAAAGAAGGTAGACCCAAAACATCATACTATAAGTACATTATGACATTCTAGAAAAAGCAGAAGCTATGGGGACAGATGACAGACAGTGGTTGTCAAGGGCTGAAGAGTGGAGAGGGGTTGACTGTGGAGGGGCAGAGGGGTTTTTTTGCTGTGGTGGAACTGCTCTGTCCTGATTGGGGTAGGACAGTTAGGAAACAGAAACCAGGTAGGTGATATTATTCAGTCTGGCTCCTGAACTAAGATACCCAGAAGGGATGTATTGTTACATGAAAAACCAGGTTCACCTCTTGGTGGGTGTGGAGCCAAAAGTCACAACCAAGCCAAAGAGCAGAAGAAGGGAGCTGGTAAGGCGAACACTGGGAATGTTTCCCAGAGCAGTGTCTCCTCAACAGCCAGACGGGAAGGGGGAGGGAGGTTAAACTAAGGGCCATGCATATTCATGAAGGGGCTTGAGTGGAGCAGAATTCATCATAGAATGGGGGAAAAGGTCAACAGAGTCCAGGCTGTAGTTGAGTGAGGTCACGAGGGTCAGAAAAGGTCAACGTCATCATCCCTTAGTTCCAGCTGATCTCCTGGCTGGGCACTTGAGGGGGGTTTAAATTCTGTAAAACAGCTCAAGAAAGTGCTTCAGGCTAATCTTTACCTTTGAAACAGAACTGGGAGTTTACAGCTGATTTATTATCTTTGCTGTTGTTACTTCTCTTGCCTGATAAAACAGTCCTTTGCTTCTGAATTCCCTTAAGATCTTTAACTACTGAGACCTGTTCATGGACAGCGCTGTGGCCTGGCTTAAATTGCAGAAAAGCTCGGGCTAAAAATGGCTTCTCTGATGTCAAGAGAGCCATGCCTGGTTCTCTTCGGGGACCCCCTACCCTTTCCACTGACACTAGAAGTTGAGTCTGTTGAAAAGCGTGAAAGGACAAAACAGTGCTTTTGTCTCAGAGCTTTTCTAGCGCTTATTTCAACCAGTGGTTCTCAGGTTGGGCTCAGATGGGATCCGCAGGCGTTTAAAGTGCTGATGCCTGGTGGATCCTCACTCCCTGATTGCATTGATTTTGGTGGGCATAAGGGTATTTAAAAACGACGCAGGTGATTCTGACACAGCCGAGGTTGTGGATCACTGATGTAGTATCTCTCTATGACCCCCTACTGTTGAGTGGAGCAGAAGTTCTCAAAGTGTCGTCCTGGGACTGGCATCAGCGTCACCTGAGAACTTGCAAGACGTGCAGATTTTCTGGACCTGCTCCAGACCTGGGAGCAGCCCTCCAGGGGGTTCTGACGCGCCCTGAGCTAGAGGGTTGCCGGAGGTTGCATTAGTTACTGCAGAGGGCTTGGGACTGTTAAGAGTGCCTGGTTGATTGAGTGATAACCTCAGTACCTCTCAGTACTTTTTTCACTGGAAACCTCCTTGCAGTGCACATGAACCTTTTTCACTGTTCCCTTTTCATTGTGTAATGTCCTTTACAGTTTGAATTATAGTATAACGTGTGGATTGCATGGTGATCATTGGCAGTTGATCCGTAGCTGGATGGTACTCTTGAGCTGTCATAAGGGGACAGAAGTTAATTTCAATTCAAGTTATATTCTGCGCTGCTTACGTAGTAAGAGTAGGATAGAACAATGTCTAGCTACAGCTTCTTCAGGTTGGGGAGATGTGTAGGGAAAAACTATTCAAAGCTAGTTATGACTGTAATGTTGTGTGAGACTGTTAATGACTGCGCTGTGTTCGGTGAGGACAAACCTAACTGTGCCCTGTATCTGTCACTTTTGCATGTTTTTTACTGTGTCTTTGTCCCTAAGTGAGGTTGTACTGCATCCATGAAATAGGCTTTGAGAATTAAAAATCTTGAATCAGTTCATGAGGGGTAGTGGCTCTTCGTACACATCTGAAAGCATCTTTCCTTGACATGAAGTTTCCTGCTGGAGACTTTCAGACACATGCTGAAATCAGTCTGAGAGAGTACGTTGGGCAGTCACAGAACATTTCTCTTGATTCTCTTTCAGGCTATCTTGGCATTCTGCTGGATATACGTCCGTAAATATCAGAGCCAGCGGGAAAGTGAAGTCGTCTCCACCATCACAGCGATTTTCTCCCTGGCGATTGCACTGATCACATCAGCTCTTCTGCCCGTGGATATATTTCTGGTTTCCTACATGAAAAATCAAAATGGTACATTTAAGGTAACTATGATCGTACTATGTGAATTTTTTCCTTTCATATTCTTGACCATTAAGTGTTTAAGTTGAGCAGTGTTTTCTTGTGATCTCTGGGAATGATTGAGAATGGAAATGAACCTAGGGGCTGAGACTCTGACAACTAACATGGAACAGACTGTTCACTGACATGAGAACTGTCAATGCAGCCACCATGCAAGTGTGAAGAATGCCTTTGTTAATCTGGAAATAGACTAAGTCATTGTAACAGGTTTAATTTGGGGGGCCTCTTATAGCTCCCTTGTAGTTTCTTTGACTTGATTTACACGGATGCAGTAAATAAATAATTCAGAAGTGCTTTTGTTCATATTAAGTGGGGTCTTCATTTCTGTCTCAGATCGAGCACTTGGAGTCACTGTGAGGTGGTGAGGAGACCAGTAGGCTGGGAATTATAAGACCTAAGTTCCAGCCTCGACTCTGCTGTCTAGAGCCTGTGTCTTTGGCCAAGCCGTGCACTTTCCTGGACTTTAAATTCCTCATTTGTAGAATAAATGGTGTTGGACTGGAAGGTTTCCCAGTTCCTTTTCAGTTACGCAGATTGCTTTTTACAGTTATGCAGATTACTCTTATCAATGTAAGCTTCTCTGAGGCAGGAACTATGTCTTGATTATTTGTCTAACACGCAGTAGGTACTTAAATGTTTGAAATCTCATTTCAGTTATCTCAGTAATGCATGATTCCAAAATAAGTTCCTGAATTGGGCCAACTGGATTTAAAGAATTGGAAATTGTTTTTGTAGTTAGATTTAGATGTATCCTGCTTGCTGTGAAAACTCCAGTTATTTTCTGTAGGCCGGTCATTCGTTTAGCAAGTATTAAATTTTTTTTTAGTTCTTATTTTTTATTGAAGTGTAGTTGATTTACAGTGTTAGTTTCAGATGTACAGCAGAGTGATTCAGTTATACGTATACACACATATATATATTTTTTCAGATTCTTTTCCGTTACAGCTCATTACAAGAAATTGAGTATAGTTCTCTGGGTAGCAGGGATTCATTGAGCACATAGTATGTCCGAATGCTACAGAGATGGTAACTGACATCTGGGGAGTCTTTACTATGTGTCAGGCCCTGTCCTACATGGTTTCCGTATCTAAACTGTCATGGATGTCCCAAACAACCCTATGAGGTAGGTGGTGTTATCCATGTTTTTATGGGCAGGAAACCAAGGTTTGGAGAGGCGACGTCCCCCTTCTCAGGTGGGAGGGCTGTGAGTGCTGGCGCTGGGATCCGAGGCTCTGGAGTCCGGTCCAGGGTTCTTTGCTCTCTTGCAGTACGTATGTGCCAGTATCTGTATCTGCTGCAGTGGAAGTAGTGGTATCCCTTGGTCATGATGGTTTGAGTAAGGAGATTTTCTGTTTTAAAGTTAAAGTTGGAATATTTGATTTGTCTAGATTTTGCAGGATTATGTTCTTCATCGTGGAGTTTCTGAAGTAAGTATGTTCATGAAGTCCTCAACCTCAGATGATGTAGTTGCTCTGAGACCGTGCACAGCTGAGTCGTCACTTTCTGGGCGCTAGGTTTTTCTTTTATTAATTAATTTATTTAAATCTGTGAGATTGGATTATGTTTGTTTAAACAAGACTTTTTAGGAATTCACCCACCTAAAGAAGCAAAAGTATTACTCCTGAAAACTTAGGGTACTTGCTAAATGCCCCATGAGGGAAGAAAATGTTTAACGGTAGTCAGCGTGCTTGTTTTCTGTTTGTTAGATCTAAATGTGGCACCAGTACTTAGAAGGGAGCAATTCCATGTTAATGTTCTTTCCTCCCACTTTTTAAAAACTTTTTTCTTGCATTATTGAGGGATTATTTATTCAGCAATAGTATGTCCTTTTCCCCCCTACTTCTCAATTATTTGGCTGTATTTAGTTCCTTTTTTTTAGCCAACTCAGAGCTTAGGTAATGTACCAGTTTTTCCTCTAGTACCTTAATACCTTTGTGATATTTTAAAACGTTCTTTGTTTCTCTTTTGGTCTTTTTCTGGGAGGTGGTGGGGTGGGGGAAGGGGTCAGTGACATTCACAAGAGTCGTCATTTGAAGCTGGCCGGTGCTAATGCTCAAAGTAGAACTGAGAAGACTCTCAAAGAACTCTTTCTCAGTAAACTGCAGAGAGGATTTTCTCCAGTAAGTTATTAACGAATTCTCTTGAGTGCTTAGCGAAAGGAGCCAGTCGTGAAGAATTAATTTTCTAGACTTCATGCTACAGCTGTAAATTTAGACATCTTTTTTTTTTGCGGGGGGGGGGGAGAATTAGGTTTATTTATTTATTGTTACTATTTTTTTTTTTTATTTAACAGAGGTACTGGGGCTTGAACCCATGACCTCGTGCATGCTAAGCATGCACTCTACCACTGAACTACACCCTCCCCCTGAATTTAGACATCTTAGGGTGAAAGTGTGCCATGGTGTCTTCAGTCTATTCCATCCTTATTAGTCAGGATAAATGTACAAGTTGACATTGTTTTCCAAGATGAATTATGTTGTATCTTAAATTTTATAATGTGCATTTCTTATTTCTAAATGAATGTATGTATTGTCTAACTTTCTCCATTTCCACCTCAAATATTGAAGACTCTAAATTGATCACAGTTCTGTGTATAAGGTGTAATTATTTGGAAACTCCGGATATAAATGACTGCTAACATTTGGCCTAGGAACAGAGCGTGTCAGGCAGGCAGTCAACAATATTTTTCTCTGTTTTGTCTTATTTACCTTCCTAGCTATCTCTGCCTTCTTTTGGCCAAAGGTATATTAGAATAACGTCTGAACTGTTTCCATTGACTTTTTTTTCCAAGACTATGAATAATTTTAGCGAGGAAGTTTTTTGTTTCTAGTTTTTTTGTGTGAAATAATTAACTTTTTAGATTAAAAAAAATCCTAAAGGATAGCTAGACGTGTTCTATTACAGTGTCTTGTATAGTTAGCAAGTAACTTTGCACAGTGATACACACAAAGTGTACCAATCAAAAAAAATCAGAAACTGACACTAACGTGAACAAATGTCCTTTATGTTATACAGTATGTAAAGTGAGAATTAGTAGTTAAGCTATGGCATCAAAACATTTAATGTTTCAGTAGCTAAAGTGTTCTTATCTTACTTCCGTCCCCCAGTGATTAATCACTTTCTGGCCAGTTATGATGAAACTTCTGGGTTGAACTTGGTACTGCTGCCTCATTCTTACTTGCAAATGGTGGTAACTGTATCTTAGGACTTTGTATTCTTCATCACACCTTAAATATGTTCATTCACTTAATATTTAATAAGTCTGTAACATATATCTGACAAATGCTAGAGACTGACAATGAAAACAAAGGAGGCTGCTGCTCTCTGGGAGCTCCCATTCTGTTAAGACCAGGCTGACAGTAAACCAGCACGTAAAACAAGCCAGCGTCCTAGTGCTCAGTTCTGTGAGACTTCCAGCAGGCTGATGTGAGAGGCGTTTGAGTTGTGGTTGCCCAGGCAGGAGAACTGGAAGGCCAGACTGTGGAGGGGGACCAGGCTGCTAAGGGTACTCAAGATGAGTCCAGAGTCACGGGCAGAGCCGGTGGGGTGGAGGACGGCCTCTGGGGAGAAGGGGCAGCAGATACAGAGGCCCCCAGGCAGAAGTGGGTTTGGCCTGCTTGGCTGAAGAGTAGTGTTGTGGGTTGTGCTTTGGTAAAGCTGAGATTGAGAGGAAGGTGGGGACCAGATGGTTTATGACTTTCAGATCCTGTAAATGACTTTAGATTTTCTCCTGACTGCAGTGGGAAGTTAATGAAGGTAAGAAATGAAGTTGATCTGGATGAGAGTGGTATTAGTGAAGAAAAGTGGTGAAAATCAGTGTGTATTTTGAACCAGAAATGGACCCACAGACATAAAAAATAAATGGTGGTTACCGGGGGAGTGGGGGAAGCAGCCGGGAGAGTTAGGAGTTGGTGATTAACAGATACACAATGCTGTATATAAAGCAGATTAACAAGAAGGTCCTACTGTATAGCACACGGAACTACATTAAGTGTGTTGTAATAACATAGAATGAAAAAGAATCTGGAAAAAAAATATGTATGTCTATGTATAACTGAACCACTTTGCTGTACACCAGAAACTAACACTGTAAATTGACTACGCTTAAATAAAAAAATAAGAGTTAAAAAAAGTCAATGTGTACCTTGGAGGTAGAGCTGCCTAGATTTGCTGATGGAGTAGATGTGGGGGTGAGGGAAGAAGAAAACCAAAGGGGTGCCTGGATCCGCTTCCTCCTCAGAGAAGTGGGGAGGCCTGGAGGAGCAGTAAGGCCCGTGGGTGTACACGGGCAGGTGGGGGAGTGTAGGGAAAAGAGCCATGTTTTAGACCAGTTCCCTTCAGAGTGCCTACCATATGTATTCACCTGGCGGCTGAAGCTTCAGGGAAGCCTCGGGGTCGGGGAGAAGTATCTGGACGTCGTCATCATGTGGGCCGTGTTTAGAGCTGTGCACTGACTAGTGTCTGGGGGAGCTGAGTGGTGAGAGAGGGGTTGGCGCTGGGCCAGGGGTGAGAGGCTGCCTTATGTCGAGGCCGCCCAGGGCAGAGGGCAGCCAGAGAGGTGTGGAGAAGGGGAGGCTTCTCAGGAGAAGAACGTATTTCCGGAAGAGCGAATGGTAGGTAGCTTGTGATGCTGGCAGGTGGAGTGAGAGAGGTTTTGTAGGGATCAAGAACATACAGAGTGATTCCCGCGGAGCGGAGGGGCAGGCGGTTGGAATGAGTGAGATGCAGACATAAGGTGGGCCAGTGGTGATGGGGATGCATATGACCTCCTGGGAAGTTCTGTTCCCTAGAAAAGTAGCAGGGGGTCCAGGGAGCTGTTCTTATTTATAGTGGTGGTGTGTTGTTCTCATGGAAATTCAAGTTCACATACTTTAGGATTCAGTGGAGTGGGAAAGATATTGTGGGGGTGCATCCAGGGGCAGTGTCCTTGAGTCTGGATCTCAAAGGAGAGGGTCAGCTGTGAAGAGCACGGGCATAGGGTCCGAGGAAGGGATCGCACTGGAATACAGATAAAGGCAGGTTTCAGATCTGGGAAGAAACCGAGGAGCTCTTGTCTTCTTTACAGACCTCTAAGTCAGTGTTGTCTCAATCATGGATGTTTTGTGCTGGGTAGTTCTCCCCCCCCCCAGTGTCTCGAAGACATTGCCAGGTGTCCCATGGGGGACAGAATCACCCCTGAGTAACAACCAGTGGTCTAAGGTGAGGTTATCTGGTAAAATTCAAGAGAGTAAAGTTTTGGATTGGACTGTGTGTTTCAAAAAGTCATCTTGAAGAATGGGAAGGGAATTTTACATAGCCCAGTACATTTTTGTTTTGTGGAATTTATGTTCTTCCATATTCTCTATGTAATATTAGTTCTTGATTGTCTCATGTTCCTTTGGGTCTTCTGAAGTTCCTTTTGGTCTCTACTTTGGGAGGCAATGATTTATAAAATGTATCAAGGGCATAGCATTTCTTAGAATGTAGAAGAAGGAAGGTTTCAAAAACTAAGCTCTTTTGACGGTAGATCAGATACCTTGGAGGCAGGACAGTATATAAAAGCCAGATATTACAGAGTACTGGAGTGATGTATATTTTACACATATTTTTCCTCTAAAATAGTAACAGTAATACTCTCTAATTGCCATAAGATTTGGTTAAACGAAAGAACCTTGGAGAGTAAAATACACTAAATTTCAGTGAACCTTTGGCTTTAAATTTACCTTCAGACTTCCTACATGTAATCTTTTTCTGAGGTTGGGGTTCGTCTTCAATTTTCAAGTTTAACTTGTGATTCTCAACGACTGCATTAATACCTCATGGGGTTGACTTGGAAATTGGTACAGAGTTTGCGTAAGGGTAGGTGTGATTATCCTCAGTTTCAAGAAAAGCTTCAAGTTTCAAACTTTTAAAATTTCTGGTTTGTTGCACAAGTATAGGCACTAAAGAAACACAGCTTTTGGAAAGTGAAGCTTTGATTGAGTGTAGATTCATCTGGACCCTTGAATCATTGATGGAAAAATTTCCAGTCATCGGCAAGAATTCTCCCCCTCTACCGACCCCGTGCTTTTGCAGACTCACGTGGAACGTTGTTTACCACTCTTTCCAGGCTCCTGCAGTACATGGACTGGTGTTTCTTGCATTACATTTTTTACACAATGAGACTGGGTGTCAAAAACTCTTGGTTGCAACTTGTTCTGATTCCTCCCCAACTCAAAAGTGCTTCGTGGCTATCCATGTAGGCCAGTTTATAGAGATTCCACCTTCATCATTGTTAATGTCTCTGTGGTATTCCGTGATATAAGTGTACGAGAATGCATTTTACCATTGTTCCTCAGGCAGGCAGATTGTCTCTGTTTGTTGTTGTTGTTGTTTATTGTTTTTTTAGTATTTTAAACAACATTACCCTGAATAGCGTTGGGGAAAAGGCTTTTTGGTGAAACATCAGTAAACATTGCTTGGTGCAGGCTGGAGTTTTTGGGGATGAGGGTCTCCAAGTACGCATGTCCTTGTACACTTGACCTTCCGCAAGGCGGTGAGCTTTCCCCAAATACACGTGAGTCAGCAGAGGTACCGGCCTCCTTTTGTTCTCTCTTCTTATAGGGCGAGCAGGAGAGTGGCCCTTACAGGAGACAAACACGCTGGGCTTGGGTGCCAAGTAGTGGGAGCTGGATCTAAGCTGTTTGTGGGGCACTGGGACCCTCCAGTCGCCGAACACCTGCAGCCCCTGGGCCCCTGGGACCCGCGAGTGATTGACATTGAGTCCAGCTGGTCCTCCAGGGTGGGAAGGGGAGGCCCCCGTCCCTGCTTGCTGCCAGGCGTCCCAGCAGGAGTTCTTGAGGTCATCCACTGCGGGACTGCTTGTCTTAAAACGCATGTCTACTGACACCTGTCCTGATTGTCTGAATCTTTTTAGGAGCGACTCCAGCAAAGAATGTCTGTGTCATAGACCAACTTTCTTACCACTACGGTGTGTAGGTGGCTTTTCCTCCGTATTTGCCACCACTGGGTCTTGTTAATGTTCTAAATTCTGCCGTTTGGGTAAGATGAAAGGTTGCCTTAATCATAGATTTTCATGCTTCGTTAATAAAGTTTAGTAAGTGGCTAAATTCTTCATTATTGGTCTTTTTCAAAAAGTTTTCTAGCTCTTACCTATGTTTTTCAGATGACTTTTAATATCAGCACATTGAAAGGCTACCAGCTATGAGATTTTGGTTGGCAGTGTATAGTTTTTATAAATTAATTTGGAGGAATTTGGTATTTATGATCTTTTCCTGTGTGAACATGTGACTTTTCATTTATTTACAACTTTTATATTCTATAATCATGAATTTCTTTATGTAGTTAATGCAGATTTTCTTTTATTTAGCATATTATGGTTTTTATAGTCTTAATTGCTGGTAGAAAAATACTGTTGTTATTGTGCATTGTGTGTCAACGTTTGCATTTGTGGTGCTGAATTCAGGCTTCCACATTTTTGTTCTTTTAGGCATAGGTGAATGGAAATTCATAGATATTCATTGCTAGAGGTGTTTATAGGTGAAAAAGGAAAAAAAAGAAAACCTAGATTATTATTTTTTTTTCCTAGATTATTTTTGGAGAATTAAATGTGGATACTCTTCCCTAAGAGACCTTGTAGTAGGATGTTGATACTGACCTGAGTTGCTTAAAGTATTGAGAGGAAAAAATTGACCTGGATGCTAATTTCTGCCTTGCTACTTACTAGCAATGACCAGTCACATAGACTCTCCAGGTTTAATTTTTTATATGCATAAAATCAGGATATTCAACAGAAAGGCTTGCTATTCTGCCTCAGTTCTAATTCATTCATATAGAGATTTTTTTTATTGGAAAAGATTAAATAGAATTAATTTTCTAAGTTAAATTACTAAATTTTAATTGCTAGTTTAAAGAACATGTATGGGTGGAATGCAAAAGAGTTTAAATTGGGCTATTCTTTTAGATATTTAAAAATTTTATATTATGCTGTATATCTTCTTTCTCAAATACAAATCGTGTTTGCCACTCTCTGCATAAAAGTGCATCACTGATTTTCACTGCCCTTAGGACAAAGGCCAGAATACTCAGCATGATTCACAGGTCCCTCAAAGCCATGTCTCCCCACCTCACCACTGCTCTGTTACCTTTCCAAAAGCTTTAGTGAATCTCTGTTTAGCTTCGTGCAGTTTCTTCAAACTCTCTGTGTGTGTTCCTTGACTCCCTTCCCTCCTTCTGACTATTTTTCCCCTCCCCTTCCCGGAGAACAACCTCTCTTCCTTCCGATCTGGGTTGAGAGTCGTTCAGTGAAACCTTCCCTGGTCTTCAGTCTGCTCAGAGCTGCCTCCTGCTTCTGTGCTTCCCCAGTACGACGCTGTCTTCTCATCCCAGCGTCTACCTGTTGAAGTTTGTGTGTTTACTTGTCCATCGCTCCCTTCTTGAAGGTACACACCATACCTGTCAGAATAGATGGCATATTTATCAGTGATATTCAGTCATAATAAAACTTGCTTATAATGGCTAAGCAAATGATGTTTTATCAATATTTCTACTGTTTCTTTTTTATCCTAGGACTGGGCCAATGCTAACGTCAGCAGACAGATCGAGGACACTGTACTGTATGGTTACTATAGTAAGTATCTTTCCGTTTCATTTCCCATCTGGGCTGCTCACCAAAATGTAGACGATAGCTCTAGAGGAACTTCTGTTTTTAATATCACATTGGCGATGACTGCATCACTCCATGGACAGTAACAGGGAACTCATCTCATCATCCTGAAACCGCCTTCTCATGCTTTGCTCCATCTGGGTTCACCTGCAACACTTGTTTGTGGAGGTCCAGTCAGGTCACTTTAAATTTCAGTGTCTTCCTATGTTACCATTGTTTGGTAACGTTGTTACCAGTTTCCCTCTTGCCCTCTGGATGAAAAAAATCTCAGGTTTCTAGAAATTTCTTGTAGGTATTGACAGTGGTGGAGTGTACTGTCTGGGAGTTTGCAGCATCGACTTTCTTGTACTCTCCAGAGCCAGTTTAATCCAGGGGATGAAGAGAGAGGGAGCTTTCTCTTCCCGCCCTCATGTTGGATTAGAAAAGCTTTGTAATAACCACTTAAATATTCCTGAAATTTTCCCTTTGAATAAATGTGACTCATACTTTTATAAAAATGTGTAAGTGCCGAGTTAGCAAAGGGGTGTCATTTTTTTTCAGCAAGGAATCCAGAGGTTGAATAAGATTTTAGCAGGACACTGAGAATAAATCTGCAGAAGGTTCTGATGATGGAATAAGTTTTTCAAGAGTTTCATTGGATTTTAACTTAGTTGCTTTGTCTTTTCTCCTGATCTAAAATCTATAGGACCTATGAAATTCTATCCCATTGGTGTATATTTTAGAAATATTTTATGGCATTTTAGTATAGAGTTTATTATTTCTAATGAATATATTAAATATGTATCATAACATTTTAAATTTGACCTTTTAAGTTAAAACTTTTGAAGTGGTGCTATGTTAAGCAGAATATTGCATTTTTCAAT